ATATATATTTCCAGGAAATAAAATAATCTTGATTGTCAAAGACAGAGACATAACCGAATAGCCCCACTACTGGACGGACATGTGCCGTTTATTTTTTCTTTTAATACTTATTATAATAATGATCTTGTGACGATTCTTGATCTAGTGTTATTTTGTTTATCTGGTTTCCTATGTCATCAATTTGTGTAGTGATATATGTATTATTAGTATGAATATTTATTTATGAAAATATAGTAAAGTGATGTTTTTGATTGTGTATTGATTGACACAGCTTAGAGACGTGGTATTTCATGGCACTGGTCTTATTTGCTGGGTATTTGAAGAATGCTGAGGTTGCAGTTGATGCTTTATCCATATGGTAATGACCCTTAATTATAAACTTGTCTACGAAAATGACACCTATCTAATAACTTCAACTTTTTATCATTTGTCAGTATGTAATGTGGCCCCATAATATTCTGGACTTCAACCTACCTAACTATAATGATACTGAGATATATATATGTGAGATTAAATTTAGGGAAGATGATACGTCCCTTTACGGAACAATTATGTCAGGATTTGTAACCGTTAAATCAACTATATCTGACGGTTACATGATGATCTAACGGTCACAAACCCCGATGGAATGATTCTGTAACGGGACTTTAGCGTCTCCTTAAATAAAATTTAGAGTATATGCTCTCTCTTTACATAATTTAAGTACAAAAATTCAATATAGAAATTTGTATAGATTGGATGTGAAGAAATTTTGGGCAATTAATATTTATTTGCATCATATCTAATTAGATTAGATTGGGTTTCGATGAGTATGTATGTATTGTTGAGCATTATTTTAAGTATTACATGATTATTATATCCATTAAATAATCATGTTTTTGCAGCACAAACATAGTAGGGTGGACAGTGATGGTAGCCATTGGATTCAATGCAGCAATCAGGTAAGTATGTCATTCACAAATGGAAATTTCCGTTCCATACATGATACATTTATTACAAATATAATTATACTTATTGTTAATCTTTAACATCCATTTTTCGGTGGAGCAGCGTAAGAGTGTCTAATGAATTAGGGGCAGATCATCCTCGGACAGCCAAGTTTTCTGTACTTGTGGTGGTGGTATCTTCATTCCTAATCGGCCTCCTTATTGCCGGCTTTCTTCTCATCTTCCACAACCAATATCCTTCATGGTTCTCCAACAGTTTGGAAGTCAAGGAAATCGTGTACCAGCTCACACCTCTCCTAGTTTTCTGTATTGTGGTCAACAATGTCCAACCTGCTCTTTCAGGTAAAAACTATAATATTATATATCTTCAATTGTGTCCAATACTACGTTAATCTGTTTTTCGTCCTAATCCATTCACTTCTTTATTGCAACAGTTTCAATCTTTTCAAGATCACGACACATAATGAAAATTGATATGAAACATAACTGTTGGTCTTTACATATGATTTTATACAGTCTTTTGCTATAATAAGCTAAACGTGAAGGTGTAATTCCTAGAATGAAGAATACGAAATATTAATAATAATGTCATCAGGATGACTAAATAAATTAAACCTTGCTTGCAGGTGTGGCTATTGGGGCAGGATGGCAAGCTTTGGTTGCTTACGTCAATATTGCATGCTACTATCTGTTTGGAATCCCATTGGGTCTTATACTTGGTTATGCAGTTAACATGGATGTTAAAGTAAGAATATTACATCATATGCCATACATAATTAATTAGTCCCAACGTGATATATATTTATCGATGCAAATGGATTCTTCAGGGCATATGGTATGGGATGGTGGCAGGAACACTTGTACAGACGCTGTTCCTCTTTTTGATCGTCTACAAAACTAATTGGCAGAAAGAGGTACGTAATAACACATAACTGTTGAGCTAGGAATTTTTACTTTCTACTTGAGGAAGCTAGCTTCTTATTTTACATTTTGGGCTGTGGGTTTAGGCTTCTGTGGCAGCTCTAAGGATCAAGATGTGGGGAGGAGAAGCAGATTCTAAAGCAAATGACATCGAAAAATAAAATAAATGAGCCAGAGTATCCTTGAGGGGAAGCGTTTGGAGTTTATTGTGATTACGGTTGTGGACTTCTCAAATGTCACGTCATCATTACAAGGGAAAGAAGTGAGCTGATCAAATAATCTCAGTTGAATTAACCAAGTTGTTTCCAATTCTGAGCTATAGGTGTCCGAGTTTAATATGATGATATGTTTTCTGTTGCTTACTTGATTTGGTTCTTTGGCATTGTTTATTATTAGAAAATGAGTGCGAGTGTGAGACGGATCAGATACGATTCGATATTGCTGTATGCCAAAATTGATTAAACTCCTGGTACATGAACTCACTAAAATATATGGATGAACTCAATGTTTTTGTTGGAAAATAATGTTAAGTGGTGAATTAAAAACGAATTTTAATACACAACAAACTACTGCTACCAGTTGTCCTTGAGTCCTTGTCGCTGGGTTAAGTTGACACCTGGTGCCGACAACGTAATTTTTGGTGTGATGGCCAGTTGGGACCACCTAGGCGGGGGTCCAGACCCAAAAGCTCAGGCGGGGGTCCTGACCCAAAAGCTCTTTTGGTTCATGTCATCCATGTCTTTTATTAGATTCTTTTTTGAGTTATCCCCTGTCACAACCTTTCTACTTTTCTGCTTACTTGGTGATAAAAAACCAGCCTTGCGTTTCTCGGTAGAAACTGAATTCCCCACAGACGGCGCCAATTTGATTCCCCAAATTTTCTCGAACTTGATGACCGCTTCCCCTGAACCGATTTGTGCCTTCCTTGATCACTGGTACCTGCAAAAATATGTTGGGGGTGTTCCTGGCGTAAATTCTCCGACACTCAAGTCAGTGATGTGTTTTGGATGAAATGGAAGAGTATCGAAATTAAGGCGCGTGGAATTATCTACCTCATGCGAGCCTATAGTCTATATGTTTTAGATTGAAATACGCACTTGTCGATGACCCGTCCCTTGTTACGAAAAGTTATTGGGATTGAGATAATTGGCCTGTGTTGTATGCTCGAACTTATTCGTTAGGTTCAATCCTTTGTTACGAAAAGTTATTGGGAGCTAACCGCTAGATGTATAAGCGAGAGTGTCAATCTCGAACCGAACAATTGATTGTCCGGTTTTGCTAGAACTTGAATTAATTATCCCCGAGTCCCTAGCTTCTCCATCTTTATTTCGTTTATATTTTTAGGTAGATTATTATTTTTATTTTGTTTCTTAGTTAATAATTCATCCAATCTGCTATCCGATTAGAGTGTTTAAGATTTATTTTCTTTTTATGTGTTATCAATATCAAAGCTAAATTCCGAACCGCCTTCCTCGTGAGATCGACCTGGAGAACGAATCTTTCGATTCGGTACTCGGTAAAAAGAATAATTTGTACACAACAAATTTGGCGCCGTTGCCGGGGAAGGCAAGTAGGATATTTTGTTTTGGTATTGATTTTATTTTCTGTGTTTCTATTTATTTTGTATTTTTCGTGTTTTTATTCTTCCTTTTGTGCTTCTTTGTTTTCTTTTCGTCTACTTTTTTTTTTTCGTGGCTACGCGTGGTTGTTCTATTTTGGTGTGCAGGAAATATGAACTTCAACCGTGCTTTTCCCTATCCGCACACCCAACCTTGGGGTTACGAGCCGAGCTATCACGTCGGGTACCACAGCCAGTCATATCTGTACTCTTCCGAGCAGTTCTGGGATCCTTACACAGTCGAGCAAACTTATGAGTCCCACGAGTTTAACGAGAAACTCGACCGTATCTATGTTTTCGCAGCATCCCGGTTAGCTCAGGAAGAAGAGACTGCAGCCCGGTGTGCCCGTCCGAACCAGCCACCTCCTTACCATGATTCTTGGGACTTCGGCCAGACCTTATCATATCCTTACGAGCAGCAGTGGGATCGGGCCTGTTGAGCAGCCATATGAGTCTTTCGAGGACTCCTCTGAGTACAATGCAAAGCTCGACCAGGCTCTCGCTCTTCTAGCATCCCAAGCTGCCCGTAGGAGCAATCTGGAGTCCAGAATCGAGAATCTTGTGGAGCGCGTGCAAGATTTAGAGGATCGAGCTCCCAATTTCTCTCCCTAGATCATCTCTCAAGGCGGGCCTACATACAGTAATGAACCTCGGGAGGTTGCTCTGACATACGATGAAAAGCTCGACCTCATTCTTGCTTGCATATCTGCCCATACCACTCGAGAGGTGGAGATTGAGCTCGGATGTGCTCGACTGAGTGCACAAATGGAGATTCTTGCAGCACATATCGGCTCAATCGAGGCAAAAGTCGACGACCCCCACCTCATGCTTGATACTCAAGCCCGCACGATGAAACAAATGTTTGAGGCCGAAGAAGAAGATGATGAGATCCAGCGAGACATTGATGATATTTCAGAGGAGGAGATCCATGGGCTTGATTCTCAAGTCCCACCTCCCACCTCCGAGTTAGAGCACCCGTCTTCGAGGCCCTTACACTGTGTTACAAAGTTGGGAGGATTCAGTTCGACTTGCTCCACTGATGAGCTTATATTTCCAGAGGTTGACGATAGAGCTCGAGTGGGAAAAGCTCTACGTCTAGAATTGGGGATTGCTCGAGCCCGTAGCCGTCTCATTCAGAACATAGCCACCCGAACCCACCATGCCCGCCTTCTGGCCACTCTGCCCGGGCTACCACTTCTAAAAAATACGAAGGCGTGGCACGACCGTCACTTCTTCCTACATCCCGGTTGAGTTCCCCACATGTTTCGTCAAGCTAATGACGTTAAACAAGCGCTTCTTGGGAGGCAACCCAAGGAATTTACCGCTTTTCTAGACTTTTTTATTTTTGCTCTTTTAGTTTTATATTAAAATAATTGGAGGTTGGAGTTTTGTGGTTTTCTCGACAGGTACTATTTGCGAGCTTGAGCAGGAGGAGTAACGAGGTCCGAGGCTGAGCATAGGCGAGTGACTTGCACATGCATGCTATTTTTCCTCGAGGCATCTTCGGTCTGCACACCCTTTTCCCTTTTCGTTTTATCTTTTTTTTTGAGTTGTTCTTTCCCTTGTCTTTTCTTTTGTGCTCTTGTGGTAGTTGGTGGGATTGGTTCATTATATGAGATTGTTAGGTCCTTTTATGTGACTTCCTATTTTGTGTTGAAGCAATGAGGTCATTGCCTCATTTAAGTGTGGGGGAGGCGAATTAGATTTTGCATTCTTATGTGGTGGATCGGTCTAGTTTTAGGATTTTGTGTTGTTGAGCATGTGATATTGGTGAATTATATGAATTGTTGATGAATGTTTGATGAAATTGGGAAGTTGTGATGATGGATGTGTGGTCATTGAATCGATATTTGCTTGATGGCCTTGAGTGACATCTATTTGCCTTGTCAGATTTTGAGCCTTACTTTTTCTTCTTGTGAGATATTGGTCATATTCTTGCATGATTATACCTTGCCTTGAGTTTGTTTGAAAGGAATTGATTAGAGTTTAAAATTGCGAAGGTGATTGAGGCGTTTTGTTGATTAGCTCTCTTTCTGCCTTTTTCTTTGGTCCTAAAATTTATTCCACTAGTAGCCCTTGAGCTTAAAACCTTTTCTTGTCAACCTATTAACTGATTTATGTGATGATTGGGGGATTGGTGACATTTTTTAATATGGTGGATATTGAGTATTGTCATTTGCTTGACCAGTAAAAAAAAATGAGAGCTCACAAGACGAATCAAATGGATTCTGATCCTCTTACTAGTCGATTCACGTTGACTGGTAATGAGCATTGGGAAACTACTGTAGGACACTTGGATGACCTCCAATGTTTGCACCTACAGAATGTTGTCCTTTTGATTTGAACTTGTTCGGAAAAAGTTACTCTCTAAATAAAAAAAGAGAAGATATTTATATTAAAAAAAAAAAAATTGGGTCAAGTGATTTTGCAATTCGATTAGAGTAGTGAGGTGTTGTTTGTGGAGTTGACTGGAGGATGGTCATTGTGCTATATTGTTTAATCCGGATAGGTAGCAGAGAACTCGAGTAATCTATTTGCTCGAGATTTGTGATTGTTTATTTGAGCGTCCTTTCTGGCATATATATCCTAACCTTAAGCCCGCATTACAACCCGTGAAGCCCTCCTGATTCGCATCTTTTGAACTTTGATCCTTTCTGAGTAATTTAGACGATTGGCAAGCATATGTTGAAACTTGAATATTGATCAATATTGAGCGTACCTATCACATATTCATGTGTATTTTGAAGAAAAATAGTACACGTTTAAGAAAGTCGAGGAAAATAAGGGTAAATAGGAAAAGTACGAAAATGTAAGCAACGTCTCCGGAAGGACTTGTTTTCGAACACGACACCATTATTTGATGTGGATAACATATATTTATCGCCCCATCGTGTTTTGAAGCAAAATGGTACACGTTTAAGAAAGTCGAGGAAAATAAGGGTAAATAGGGGCAAGTACGAAAATGAAAGCAACGTCTCCAAAAAGACTTGTTTTAGAACACGGCACCATTATTTAATGTGGATAACATATATTTATCGCCCCATCGTACTTTGAAGCAAAATGGTACACATTTAAGAAAGTCGAGGAAAATAAGGGTAAGAAGGGGCAAGTACGAAAATTTAAGCAACGTCTCCGGAAAAACTTGTTCTCGAATACGATACCATTATTTGATGTGGATAACATATATTTATCGCCCCATCGTGTTTTGAAGCAAAATGGTACACGTTTAAGAAAGTCGAGGAAAATAAGGGTAAATAGGGGCAAGTACGAAAATGTAAGCAACGTCTCCGGAAAGACTTGTTTTCGAATACGACACCATTATTTGATGTGGATAACGTATATTTATCGCCCCATCGTGCTTTGAAGCAAAATGGTACAAGTTTAAGAAAGTCGAGGAAAATAAGGGTAAATAGAGGCAAGTACAAAAATGAAGGCAACGTCTCCGGAAAGACTTGTTTTCGAACACGACACCATTATTTGATGTGGATAACATATATTTATCGCCCCATCGTGTTTTGAAGCATAATCTTACACGTTTATGAA